ACCGAAGAAGAAGTGCTAGATGCGCTGGCACAGCCTCGGCGATGATTCACTCAGTGAGCTAATTTAATAAAGGAGGAAGAGGAACACGGATGAGGGTCGGAGAGCAGAACACGTAATCCGATTTAAAGTGACATTGTCATGACCGTATAGGGCAAAGTGACAGCATCTCATGATAGCCCTGCCCCCCCCCAGGCGTCTTCACTCTATCAGAGCATCAGAGCCACCTGCATTGCTCTGGCTTGTGGGTATGGGGTAGCATGTGGCAGTGTATGGACAAGACGCCATTGCGGGCGGAATTATTGTGCTGAAATAATTTACGTTATATGGCCACATATCCGTATTAGGTAAATGCCAATTATCAAATATAGTCATATAGCCATATACGGTCAATGACGTCACTACATCCCACCCCCTTGTGCCTACGTCAAGCTGCGCAAAGGGAAATTCCCCATCTGCAGCTGGTTGGGGCAGCATGGAAGGATCTTCTTTTGGGTGTGGAGGAGCTTCGGTTCGGTCCAAACCTGAGCTCATCCCTAATCAATACACAATGGCCCCGCCCACATTTTTAGGACAGCCTGCTATTGGGATATGATTCAGGGGAACAAACTAGACGGCAATTATGAGTTTTTGTGACTTCATCTGTCTTCTCCCTAGATTCTGGGTACACCAATCTGCACACAGGGTTTTTGCTGGGCGAGGCATCCATTCTCCGACTGCTCGTCTTGTACAAGTGAGAGAGACTTGCCATGGGGACCACTCTAAAATTTCCCCCTTGGGATAGTGGTCACACCAGTACAAATAGAGAGGTGTATCTCTCATATGGGGACACATACAGGAATTAAAGCTTGAGTTCCACTTTAAATATCCTTGGCATTAGGGACGGAGCTGAGAACAGGATCCCTTCGGGGGCTGTTGGCTACAGGTTTTAGAGTTGGAGGGAGCTCCTTCTCTCTTGGTGATCCTTGAACGGAGCTTATCCATTACCAACGATCCACACCTTAATTAGCATTGTAGTGTTTGTTTAGTCGTACATGTATTTTATTGTCTTGTACTAAATTCTATGATGTTGTTATTTATTTTTCTCTGTACTGTATGTAGTTCGTTTTTTTGTATTAAAACCAAAAAAATACTATACCTGTTAAAAAAAAATGATCCTTTGCATTGCTGATCCCTAGGGGCTAAATGTATCCGACACTTCCGGGTGTGTTGAATACCTTCTTCTTCTGCCACTGCTCTAGTTCCTCCTGCCGACTCCTACATCACTAAAGAATGTACAAGGAGGAAACACAGCATGCCACAGGTGAGCAGGTATTCTGCACAACCAGAAGTGTCAGATACCTGCAGCAGCAATGCAGGGGACTTCTAAGAGAGGCCGCCGGAAAGGTAAGTAAACAGCATTTCTCTTTATAGGGAGGCTTTAGCATTGTATCTAACATGACGCAAAAACATGAACCCAATGCAGGTTCAGTAAAACCACAACCCATACTGTGGAAGCAAAATGACTTCTTCCTCCGGTTGTCAGCCCATGTGCCAAGGTTGATTCCTTTGTGTGTGGTCAGCCATTGTCCTCAGCAGCTGAGCAGGTCTGAATGTGCAAAAAAAAATGTTGAACTCCCATGATGCAACAGAAGATTCCCTTTAATCATTGCTATGTAAACTGTGGTCATACTGCATGAAGGATTCCGGTCCTGGCTGCATATTATCATCTCTTCCATTGCAAGGCCGGGAGATAAAAGAGAACATGGATCGCATTTGTTACACTACGTGGTTTTAGCATCTTAGGACAATATTCCACTTTTCAGTTACAATTATTCTGCAGAGCCGTACTACGTTTCGCTTCGCCTTTAGATGAAAGCCACATTATCCTCACCAAAGCACACCTCAAAAACTGTCTTCTCCATCACCAGCTATACAATGTGATTATAAACATGCACAGTTGATTAAAATCTCAATACGCCGACAAGCCAGCGGGTCAGACGGGCTGACTAGCCATTTTGCATCCCCTTTTATCTTCCAAAAACCGGCTTTTCTCATCTATGAATTGCAAATCGTGGTTTGCAGACCCTTCCAACAAAGGAAGGTAAGGCACGGAGTCAGGCTAATCTGCGATGACAATATAAAGACATAATTGGTCCATGCCCCAAAGTCTCTGCTGTCCCCATTTGACTTCCAGAAAGCTACGTACCACACAACGGTCTCCGTCGGCTTTCAAGCTTATTCATTATTTAGGTCTTAGGCACGAATAAAACGTCAAATCTGTTCAACTACAAGAACTGAAGAGAGATATTTTTGCTTTTGGTGGATGTTGTTAGTTTGCATCAACCGCTAGCTTTCCTGTATTGCTGGGGAAGGCAAGCCGTGAGATCTCCATGCCTGTTTTCGGCTCTCCTACCCCTTCCACGGAGTCTAACTTTTCTCTATTTCACTCTTTGTAAAGCTGCCCATACACCTTGCGATCATCAGACGAAACTTTTCGTCCGATGATCGAACCGTCATGGGATTTTCGTACGGCGGACCCATCCTGTCCCGATTATCGCAAGGTTGGATCAGCGGTAATTAAAGGAAAGCACCTGGACGAACTGCGGTAATCGACCGCACGTATTTTTGTCTGCACATGTGCACTGTAGAACGTACAAATTTTGACGTACGGAAACGCCACCAATCTTGCCAAAATCGTAACGATCGACCAAAGTTTTCTAACCTGCTGGATAGTCAAAAGTCGATCGATTGTACAGTATTTGCAGTTGTACACTGCCCATCAACCGTACGAATATCGGATGAAAACCAGATCGCGAAACTATTCGTAAGTTGTATGGGCAGCTTAAGTTAAAGTGACACTAAACTCAGGAGCTAAATCTTAAAAATACATTCAGTCCCTTAACTATTAACAACAATGTATCTTATTTGTGGATCACTTGGCTGTAGATCCTCCAATCATCTCTGAATTGGTGCTGACACTGTCCTTCCTTCTGGAGGGGGGCTACTTTTGTTCCCCATGGTCCCTGTGTGAGTTGTAAAGTAGTCACCACTCCAAGCTCACTCTCGTGATGGACTACAATCTCATGTTTAGTTTACTGATTTGTATTGAGATTGTAGTCCATCACGGGAGTGAGCTTGGAGCGGTGACTACTTTACAACACACACAGGGACCATGGGGAACAAAAGTAGCCCCCCCTCCAGAAGGAAGGACAGTGTCAGCACCAATTCAGAGATGATTGGGAGGTCTACAGCCGAGTAACACACAAATAAGAAACATTGTTGGTAATTGTTAAGGTTCCTGAATGTATTTTTAAGATTTAACTCTGGAGTTCAGTGTCACTTTAAACTGTCAAGCAAGAGGAGTTCATCCTCCTGTTTATTAGAAATGGGAATCCCCTGGTGATCTAACCATCTAGATGCACCCCCTTCAAATAGAACATTGACAATTACCTTTTTTCCCAATATATACCAATTAGCTGAGAACCAGCATTACATGTTTAAAGGGACATTCCACCCAAAAGTAATGGAGCCTGGTTGGATAAATCAACACTTGGCTTCTTATATGTCTTGTATAGTTCAACAGCGAGATCTCCCTGCCATAATCTCCATCTCTCTTCTGGTCTAGCTGGGAGTTTTTAGATGTTCCCACTAAAGATGCACCGATACCGGTACTAGTATCTGTATCAGTACCGATGCAGAGTATTTGGGCAAGTACTCGTACTCGCCCAAATGCTCCGATGCCTAGCCCGATACTTCCTGTATCAGGAAGTCGGGCAGCTTGTTATTACACGCTGCCCGACTTCCTGACTGGTCAGGAAGCTGGCCAATCAGGAAGCCGGATGACGTCTAACGACGTGACGCCCGACTTCCTGATTGGCCGTGAAGCCGGCTTCGTGCTCCCTCGTCGCCGCATGATGAGGGAGCAGGCTTCCCGGCCAATCAGGAAGCCAGGCACCGCGTCATTACACGGCGCCCGGCTTCCTGATTGGCCAGATAGCTGGCTCCGTGCTTTCTCGTCACCTAGTGACGAGAAGCATGGGGACAGCTTCCCTGCTAATCAGGAAGCCTGATGGCGAGTCTTTACACGCCGCCCGGCTTCCTGAAGTGGACTTCCAGTATTTCGTATTTGGTACCTGCGGGTACCGGAAAAAAAAAAGTACTCGTACTCGATACCGAAATCGGTGCATCCCTAGTTCCCACACACCTTTGTATGTTTCAGCTCCCCCTGATAGATTCTCTCTTTCTCTACAACATTAAATAGGGAGATTAGGAGCCCCTAATAGATGCCCAAGCGGGTGTGAAGACCAAGAACCTAACACACAGATGGTCAGGTGGCTTCTACAGCTACCAAATATTGAAATTTCAACTTTTGGGGGGCTGAGCCTTTAAATAAGGGCAGCCAAACTGCATTTAGTCACAGGTGTAGCCTGTTTGGATGACTCACACCCTGGATTCCTATATTTCTTGTAAAGCTCAACAGAAAGCACTCCCTGCCATAACCTCCATCTCTCTTCTGGTCTACCTGGGAGTTTTAGATGTTCCCACCCACTTCTGTATGTTTCAGCTCCCCCTGATACATTCTCTCTTTCTCTACAACATTAAATAAGCAGATTAGGATCCCCTCATTATTGCCTCGGCAGGTGTGAAGACCAAGAACCTAACACACAGATGGTCAGGTGGCTTCTTCATCTACCAAAAACTGAAATGTCAACTTTGGGAGGGCTAAGCCTTTAAATAAGGGCAGTCCTAAACATAATAGACTAAGTGCAGTAACCCATAGAAACCAACCAGAAGTAAAATTTCACATTCTCTGCTCTTCAATGACCAAATCTGACTCTCCTGAACTTTGCACATATTCAGAATCATTCAAACTAGTTTGTAAATTCAAGTACATTCGCCTCAAAAGATTCCTCTAGCTTCTGTGAAAAGTACCACCAAACATTGTCTCTGAACTCAAATATACAGACGATGGATTCATATGACATGGAAATGAAGAGAAAGTATTAAAGTCAACACTTTACCTGATACGGTGACCAGCATCGATGCCATCAAAGGACGGTTGTTGTCCAGCTTGCGGCTAAGCCGTAACTCCCCGCTTGAGTGATTGACGATCAGTAAATTTAGCTCATTCCCACGCTCGAAGGTGTAGAAGAGTCTGTCTGACACATCCGGGTCATAGGCCGGTATCTTTCCGATGACACCGGAGGGGAAAGTGTTGGAGTTGTTGGAGATGTAATTGTTGAAGAGGATCTGAAAGTTCTTTAGGACGGGAGTGTTGTCATTTTGATCGATCAGCTTAATATGAACGGTAGCCCTGCTAACTAAGGGAGCCGAGGTGGCCTGCACCACGATCACGTACTCCGACTTTGCTTCGTAGTCCAAGTCTATGAGGGCGGTCAGCTCTCCAGAGAAGAAGTCCATTTGGAAAATTTCTGGAATGTTGCCTTCGACAATCTGATACATTATCTGCGCGTTTGGACCTTCATCTGGGTCGGTGGCTTTGATTCGGCCAACCACCGAGCCCACGATGCTGTTTTCCTTCACGTAGACCTCAAATTCATCGGCTGGGAAAACGGGAGCATTGTCGTTGACGTCCTGAACAGCGACTTGGATTCGAACTGGGCTCCTCTGCGGGGGGATGCCTCTGTCCACGGCGTAAGCCGTCAGCTCATAGAAGGGGACACTTTCTCTGTCCAATTTGCGTACGCTACGGATAATACCTGAGGTCGGTTCTATCGTAAAATCTCCGTCTCCATCTTCGCCGTTTTGGAATGTGTACTGAACCCTTCCATTGGCATGGGAATCGCGGTCGGTGGCAGAAATTTGTAGGACGCTAGTAAAAGGAGGGGCATCCTCCGAGACTATTCCATGATACTGCGAGTTTAAAAACTGGGGGGCATTGTCGTTGACGTCGTTCACCATAATCTCCACATAGGCCGTGTCGGATTTTTGCGGGATTCCATTGTCCTTTGCGATAACAGCAAGAGTGTAAGTCATTTGGTCCTCATAGTCCAGCTGGCCATTGAGCGTGATAACTCCGGTATCGGGGTTAATACGGAACTGGGGGATATTTTCTTCCAGGAAGTAACTGATCCTTGCGTTCTCTCCGACGTCATCGTCCGTGGCGCTAATGATCACTACGGTGCTCCCGATGGGCCGGTCCTCGTTGATATCAACAGGGTAGTGCGCACTTTGAAAGACTGGCCTGTGGGTGTTTGCATCAGTGATGTTAATATGGACGTAACAGTTGTCATGAAGGATGCGATCGGAGGCGGTCACCGTCAGGACGTAGCGTCTTTCTTGTTTGTAATCAAGCGGCAGCGATAAAGTGATTAGGCCTGACCCACTCTGCGTGCTAATTGCAAAACGGTTGCGGGTGTTGCCCCCCGTGATCTGATATGAGATAGGGCTGTTGATATCCCGGTCTATGGCGGTTACGCTAAGAACGCTGGTCCCCACACTGGCATCTTCGTTCAAACGTATAAAATATTCCTTCTGGGTGAACTCCGGCCGGTTATCATTCACATCCAGCACGGTAATGGTGACACTGGCAGACGCAGACAAGGGAGGGTTCCCATGATCTCTGGCTTCTACTCCAAACAGATAATGTTCTACAGTCTCTCTGTCTAGGGGGCCGCTTACAGTGATCCAACCGGTGGCGCTGTTAATTACGAACGGAGTAGTAGGTAGCACGCCGGTCAATTTATATTCCATGCGAGCGTTTTCCCCATAATCTGCGTCCACGGCTTGGATGTGAATAACGGAGTGACCCAAAGGAACATTTTCCAGCACGTTCACTTGAAATGGGGTGCTAACAAACATGGGGGCATGGTCATTGATGTCTACCACCTGAACACTTAACATACCGGTGTTGTTCGACAGCGGAGGGCGGCCTGCATCTTGGGCGCGGATTCTGAGTGTATACTCCCTCTCCGATTCAAAGTCTAAGGGGGCTACGATCTGAATTGCGCCATTTAAGCTGTCGATGGAGAACTGCCCTCTACTGTTACCGTTAATGATGTTATAGTGTACCACCGCATTGCTATCCTTATCAAAGTCGGTGGCGGTAACCCTTATAATCTCAGTGTGGGGTCTGATGTCTTCTCTCACCTGGACTATGTAACGCTTTTCGCTAAATTGGGGCACGTTATCATTCTCGTCCAGGACAGTTATCTCGACTTTGACCGTGGATGACCTAGGCCCAGGGTCCTTACCTTGATCGCTGGCCTCCACTATCAAAGAGTACCTCTCTCTCTTCTCTCGGTCTACCTGCCCGCTGGTGGTGATTAAACCCGATCTTGCATCGATCTCGAAAACCGAGTGAGCCGCCTGCTCGTTGACGAACCGGTACTTGATGTTGGCGTTCGCCTGGGAGTCGATGTCTGTGGCTCTCAGCTGCAAGATGGGGTACCCCTCCTCTACGTTCTCCCTGATGCTCTCCCTGTACTCGGCCTGCTCGAACATGGGGCTGTGGTCGTTTTTATCCGTGACCGTCACGGCCACCATCGTGGTGGCGGACAGCCGCGGGCTCCCGTGGTCGATGGCCGTGACCCTGAAATAGTGTAGGTCCATGCTCTCTCTGTCTAGGATCTCCGTGCTGGAGATCAAACCGGTCACTGAATCTATGCCGAAAAGCTCTAAAGACTTGCTGTTCATCAGGGCATCCATGGTGTACACAACCCTCCCAGCTTCCCCGGTATCAGGGTCTTGCGCTGTCATGGTTATCACAGGGGTCCCCGGGGGCTGATTTTCAGCCACCTGAACCTGATAATTATATTGGGGGAAGTAGGGATGCCGGTTGGCTGCCCTGCGTGTCCTTATTAATGGAAGGGATGCCCTACCCCTCCCACTGCCCCCCTGCCTGGGTGATATATGAGAGAGAGGCAGCGAGTTCAGCTGTATGGCTTTGCTACGTGCTAACGCTTGTTCAGTATGAAGATCAATAGTTCTGAGCCTCCCCGGAGCGGGTGCTGGGAAAATAATTTTCAGGCAACCTTTGGTTGAGTTGAAGGAGAAATTCGGAAAGCAGGCTTCTTTCAGGGGGAGCCGAGTGCCTGCAGGGATCTGCAGGGAGGCAGCCGGAGCCGCTGTGGGAGCTGTCTGTCGGTCTGGTGCTGAAATCTCATCTGCTCTCCACGTGCCCTCTGCAGGCTGCTCTCCCCATTGCTCCTGAGCACGGTTCCCGGAACACAGACCCCAGATCAGCCCGCAGCACCGGCTGCACACGTGCCCGCCCCAAAATCTGCCAGCACGGCGCACACAGATCCCAGCCGACTTGGTGCCCTCCCGACAGTCGAGTTTGCAAATCCCCAGGTGTGAACGATGCTGCCTGATCCCCAGGGTCTCTCCTGTGTGGGTACAGACCAGGCAGCCCCCAGTTAAGTTCCTATCAGGGACCGCCAAGCAGGCGCACAATGCTACCCCGGCACGCAGGTGTCTTTGGCCACAGTCCCAGGTAGTCCTGCAGCGCGGCACCCCGGTGGCGAGCTGCCCCCTCACGTTCGAATCACCGGCGCCGCCGTTGCGTGCCCCCCGAAATGCATTCAACGAAAAGACACGGCAGAGGAAGACGAATTGATGGTTGATGCTGGAAAGGCAACTGCTGTTGATTGTGAGAGCACCGAAGGACCGGTCAGTCCCGTTCCCCTCGAACGCCGTCCTATTGCTTGGCGTGACGCCGGGTTTCTGGCAGTGTTGCAAAAAAACAAGGTCCTTGCTGTGGATCTTAAGGCAATGGGGTCCTATGCTGGCGGGCTTGGGGTCCACAGGCGGCCCGGGAGGTTTTGTAATCCAACAACAGGAGGGGGCTCCCTCTTCTTCATCGCTCCTTTGGCCCCTTGGTGGCTCCCTGGATGTGGCACTGGGCTCGTCCCCTGCGCAGCCCCCAGCAGACGTCCTCCGGCACCGGCGGAGCCCGGTCGGCCCCCGTGAGGGTCGTCGGGCGGCCATCGTGGGTCCCCAGCACAGGGTGAAGTGCCAGGGGGACCTGGGCTGGCTGCTGTGGCCCCCGGCCTGAGAGTGGTGGGCTTCCTCCGTGCGCTGAGCCCCCTGCAGCCTTGGAAGGGAAGCCCCCTCGTGCACAAAGCACAGGGCTGGAGCAAGGGCCGGGGGACAGTGATCAGTGCTCTCCCGGGTGGCTGCATGCTTCCCCCGGCTGGAAGTGAACAAAGGGATGCTGAGGAGGAGAAGCAGCGGGAGGAGGCAGCGAGGCAGGCTTGTCCCCGGCAGCTGAGCAGCCATAGTCTCCCCTCCTTGTCTGCTGGCACGGCGCTGCCCTCACTGGGCACGGCCCTCCCCCGGTCCTCCTGTCGCTCTCCCGGCCGTGGCTGCGACCATCTACTCGGCGCTCACAGGCAGACTCTCCGGGCGCAGCATCTCCTCACCCTCCCTTCATTCAACACCAACATGGCTCCCGGCAACCCTAATGGTTCGCTCCACCCCATCTTCCTACCCCCCTTTACTACGGGGGACAGGTGGTACGCTCTCGTCGGGCGCATGCGCGGTGGCGGCGGCTGAGTCAGGAGCGGTGACGTCAGCGGCCATCTTTACTGCTGGCGGAGCTGTCCAGGGTGCTGAAAGCGGAGATGGCTGGAGGGGGGAAGAGGGATCGCCACACAGGATTGCATTGCAGCCTTTGCTTTACACTGAATTGTATTATATTTTATTATATTTAAGTGCAGAATCCCAGGCAATTCAGCTTATTAGCTGAATTGTCCTCATGGTAGACATCCAACAATGTATATGCTATGTGGCTGGAATAAGAGATATACGATGAATATACAATATATGGATATATGAATATCTTCTATGCTTTTTAGATGCACCGAGGGCAATGTATCAAAACTGGAGCAGTTTCCCATGGCAACCAATCAGCTTCTCTCTTCAGTTTGTTTAGGTAAGCTCTGAAAATTTAAGAAGGAAGTTGATTGGTTGCCATGCACAGCTGCTCCAGATTCTATCTGCTCCCCTCAATCTATGCACGATGAGGACCAAACTCATGTATTCTAATTGGTTGGAAATGTTTGAATTTATATAATTTATGTTATTCCGTTAGCTCCCAGGACATATTACATGAAGTGTCTGCTATGTGGCCGGAAAGCCTTCACTTTGTATGTTTTATTTCATTACAGGCTCTTAGGACATTTTAGATGCAGTGTCAGCATGGTGAGGATCCAACACTTGTACCCTACGTGGCCGGAAAGCCTCGACTTTATATATTTGATGCTCTTGTATTTTATTATTAGCTCTCAGGACCTATTAGATGAAGTATCAGCATGGTGGGCACCCAACACTTGTACACTATGTAGCTGGAAAGCTTTGACTATGTTATTTTATTATTAGCTCTATTATTAGCGTCTGCATGGTGGGCATCCATCACTTTAGTTAATGACTAGCTCCCAGCACGTCTACATCGTGAGGACCAAACACTTGTATGTTATGTGTCTAGAAAGTTTTGACCTTTTATGATTATAATATAATGAATTCATTATTAGTTCTCAGGACCTATAGGATGAAGTGTTAGCATGGTGGGCATCCAACATGTGTATACTATATGGCTGGAAAGCCTTGACTTTATATATTGTATGCTATTGTATTTTATCATTAGCTCTCAGGGCCTATTAGATGAAGTGTGTTGGCATGGTGTGCGCCCAACACATGTATGCTTTAGAACTGGAAAGCCTTGACTTTATATATTATATTTTATGTTATTTTACTACTAGGACTTATTAGATGAAGTGTCAGCATGGTGGCCATCCAACACTTGTGCACTATGTGGCTGGAAAGGCTTGACTTTATATATATTTTATGCTCTTGTCTTTTATCATTAGCTCTCAGGACCTATTAAAAGAAGTGTCTGCATGGTGGCCATCCAACATGTGCATACTATTAGGCTGTAAAGCCTTGACATTATAAGAGGTATTTGATTTTATTGTATGACTATCTGCCTGATGAGGATCCAACACCTGTACACTATGTGGCTGGAAAGCCTCGACTTTATATATTTTATGTTATTGTATTTTATTAGTAGCCCTCAGGGCTTATTAGATTAAGTGTCTACATGGTGGGGATCCAACACTTGTATGCTGGCTAGCTGCAAAGTCTTGACTCTATATGAGATATTTCATTTTATATTTTGGTATTTTATGTCATGTCTGGCCCTCAGGACGCAGGATAGTTGAAGTAGGGTTGGGGATCCAACACTTGTATCCTTTGGAGCTGGAAAAGCCTGGACTTTATGTGAGATATACCTTGCCCCCCTCACCCCCTTCGCCATGTTGTAAAATTTAGCCAATACCACTGGTCTTACAGCAGAATAATATGACATTTATTGGCACACGTGCAAGAACACATCTCATCACATTGTGATTATATACATTCTGACAGAGATATTTATATTTATTCATGTAATAAAGGAACAGCCATTGCGCTGAGTACCCATATAAGAGACCTAAGACAGAACCTGTGGGGAAGGTTCATTTATATTTATCACATATCGCATATCATCCCGTCATGCCCTTGCCTCTGGGAGTATTGCAATGCATCATGGGACCTGTAGTTGTACAACAGCTGGTGTGACAAGGTTGCCTACACCAAGGCATGCACTGCTACTCTCTCTCTCTATAATATATATATATATTTATTTATTCTCTCTCTCTTGTCACTATATTGCCAAAAGTATTAGGACGCCTTTACACGCACATGAACTTTAATGGCATCCCAGTCTTAGTCCGTAGGGTTCAGTATTGAGTTGGCTCCGCCCTTTGCCGCTATAATATGGAGGGTTGCTGAATTGGTAAAGAAGTGTGGAGGCAGCTCTGAGGCTCTGAATGTACTCAGGGTACATCCTGGAGTACAGTTCGAATTCCATGAATAATGATCTTCTATATTTGTCATTATTGATACACTTTGAGAAATATCTTTCATTGGCTGGGTATCGATATTAAGATATGAAATGCGAGCGATCAATATTGAACTCATGTCTCATAATGGCGTCAGTAGCAGTAATAACAGCAGCTAGAAGCGATGATATATTTTTAGAATATGTATTCATGTGCCCCCCCTCCCCCCTAGATGATTCAGAATTTCATTTTATAATATATATTGTTATATGCTGAGGACGGGGGTCTTTAAATCTGAGTCTGTGATAGGGGCAATATAGACAGATTTTGTCTCGCTCCAATACAAGACGTAGTTCTGGTATAAATATTAATAAATTCTTATAAAAGATATGAATAAATTATGTTAATATATTAATATATAAATAAATTCTATTGAAAGTCAATGTAAATGCAGCTGAATGGCATTTACTTTGCTAAAGCATTTTATAACCTCTTATTTCCTTTAATAAAGTACCGTTGTCACCTTTATTTCATCCCTTTTTCAGCGCTGCTGATCTCCTGCAGCCTCTTTGCAGAGACATCAGGCTGATTTATCATCCAGATGGCGCTGAGGCGTATAGGAAATTCCTACGGTCCTCTGTGACATCAAGAGCACTAGTGCTGTGCAAATGGCATCTGCCCAGCGTATACATTGATAACTCAGCCCCCTTTCCTGTCTACGGGCACTCCGGCGATGGCTGACGGCAGTCCTCAGGGCGAGTTTCTTGATGGCGGCCATTTCTTTTCATCCCTTTAAAGCATTATTCACACGAGAAACCACCGGCACGTACAGCTCCGTGCACAGCAGTATCGGGCAGCTCCCGGGAAGGACAGGTGCTGCATGTGATTAGTACGCAGCCCCTGTGCTTCTCTATGGGACTACGTGGCCGTACGCCACCCTACGCTGACACCGTACGGGTGCGTGTTTCCTGGCTCGGATGCAGACAGGGTCCATACTGTCAGCGTACGAGTACGAACACCCGCACGGACGTGCAGGGCGGGTGAGCGTAGGGCGGGGTACGGCAGCATACTCCCATAGAGAAGGACAGGGGCTGCGTACTAATCACACGCAGCACCTGTCCTTCCCGGGAGCTGCCCGATACGGCCGTGCACGCAGGACGGAGCTGTACGTGTCGGCCTTTTCTCGTGCGAATGAGGCCGAACAATCACTGCTCCACATTGAAGTGTTAGGTTAGGGCGCTCTTGCTGTTTTGTAGTTTGTACACAGGTACTCTCCGCCTGTTTCTTCAGAGCTGCCCACCCACTTCTTTGCAATCCACCAACCCTCCATAACACCGTTGTCATTTCTCAGAACACTGAACAATTTTCTGTTGCCGCTTGATGGTGACCACGCCTGCATCATGTGTGTTGAAGTGGCTGCTTGTAGTCTCTTTAGAAAGCTCATGTGACAACGCAATGCCCCTGTTCAGAAAAAGGGTCAGAGCGTTGTCACCCTAGTACAGAAAGTACCTAAACAAGGACCTTCATGGCAGCTGCAGATATAAAAATACTGAAAGTGACTTTTGAAATTGGCATGAACATAATAAAGCTTCTATGAGATTGTAGGGATTGAGTCTACATCTGCTTTAACGTGGTGGTGGGGGGTCAGTGTTCTACACTGCTGGCGATAGACCATCCAGCTTTTGTAGAACTACAGGTACCAGCATGCTTGCACATATTAGGTAACAAAACTGGCACTCGCAAGGGGATCTGTCCATCCAGTATTTTATCTGTATAAAGGGATGTGCCTTGCATAATGTTAGCAGCACTTGCAGGACTACAAATCCCAGCATGCATGCTACTACTAGAATGTGTACAATATTCCGAACGCCGTGTAATTCCTTTATTTTAATCCCGAGCCGCAATGATGGAGATTTTCCTCTTTAGATCTGATGCAGTCAGAGCTTCATGCGAATTCTTCCGGCAGTTCTCCAATGTATCCTTTTCCTGGATGAAGCACAAGGGGTTAATGTATCCATTGATTCCAGTGAGTGCCCCTCCCCCCCTTTGCATCCTTGTGATAAATTGCTCTTAGCACCATCCAGACAGCAGTAAAGCCCCCTCGCCAATAACAATAATGGCTGTCATTGGTATCGCCCAGGCCACCTCCCCTCCCCCCCTGGAATTGTTCCAGGAATGGTGCGGACCCGGATGGATCTGCTAATAGGAAGAGTTTTTCCCCCCTCATTGTCCCCCATATCACAATGTGCAGGACCCACCCTCCGTTCATTCATTGTCTGGCCGCTCTGTGCCCATTGGCTGCCTCCACCACCACCACATGCATTATATCAGACAGGTCCGCCGGTGTCTTTAATCATCAATAAGTAGACGGACACATGCAGCCTGGCCGATAATAGCAGAGGACCGTGTTTCATCGCTGTCACTGCTTTCTAGTACAATCTTCCCCAACCAGGGAGCCTCAAAATCTTTGCACAGTGTCATGCCTTTCCATGGTGCAGGGGGGATTCTGATGTGAAAGGAGGGTCTCTGAATAAAGGGGGGGGTTCTAATATAAAAGGGGGGCTCTGATC